CGCTTGGGGGAATGGCCTGGGGCACGCCCTTGAGCAGCAAGCACCACCTTATCTCTGAGGTATTGCCGCTCGGAGGGTCCGTTGCTGTTCTTTGAGGTGAGGTAACAATGTGGGAGCCCCATGTGTCCCTCTGCCACAAAAGCAGCCCCTCACCTCCACATTTCTCTCTCCTCAAAAGGTGGTGAGTGGTAGGCTCCTTGCGAAGCAACAAAAACGTGCCCCCACCTTTGCAGAGACAACTCTCTCGCCCCTCCTCGGCCTGCATGCAGAAGCAGTTTGTATTTTTTAAGTAACGTTTTGTTGTTAATCTAAAAAAATATGTTTACTTTCTTTGTTTGATGCATGAAAATAATGCCCTTTAGGATTATGTGCACGATAAATGTTCACCTTAAAAATATTCCCTGTGTTCACAGCCTAATGGTATGTGCTGTGCATGCCTACGAAAAGGCTAGATGGGGAACAAACTAAGGAAAACTAGGAACTAACTAGGAACATAGGCTTCCTCATGCCACACGTTCACGATATGTGTTTGGTTTGTGAGGCATTTCTAAAATTAATGTGCACGTAATATGTCTTCAGTGACATTGCCGTGCAACTTGAGGTACTCATCTGGAGGAAAAAATCCAGAGAAGTCATAAGAATATTTCATTTTCTGTCCATTTTTGTATTCAGTGGTTCTTGCTCTGCTGTGTAGCTCTGTGATCCTCTCCACAGGATCAGCTCATTATGGAGTCATTTTGGTAAGCTACCTTTAGTCAGATATGACTGAATCTGTGCTCTTTTATCTGAAAGCAGCTCTACATTGACCAGGCTCTGATACAGGTTATCTTTAATATTTCTTCTTATGAGCAATAACAATGCTACTGTCAAATGTGCATTGCATTAATTATACTAGGAAGTTTCAGCTGCCTGCTGAGGGCCTTTTTTGCACAATTCTTTCCTGATAAATTTGCTCAGATTCAATCCAACCTGGCTCTGAGAGATGGGAACCTGTGTCACAGGCTTCAGAAGTAGTCACTTGTAGCAGCTGCATGGATTGGTTTCAGCCTAGTTTCCCTCAAAGTTATGAACAATGTTTGAGCCATAGGTTTTCCTCTAGAGGAAGGGGAATTTGGATCAAAGCCAGATTCCTTGACTCCTAGAGTTGGAAGGGGCCTTTGAGGAACATCTACAACCATCTTTCCAAAGTTGTCTTCAGAGTTGTCTCCAGATGTTTTGTACTACAGCTCCCACTGACTATCGGCCATGCTGGCTGAGGCAGATGGGAGATGGGAGCACACCAGGTTGAGGAAGGCTGTACCAGTTGCTCTCTGGCTTATTTCCCATCTTGGCAAGTTGGTGTGAGGTCATTGGGCCACCAGCAGAAATGGTGAATGCCAAATTTGGGGAGAGCTTTCTCTGCTTACTTTTAAAAAAACCAACTTAGTGTATAGTCGGATTTAGGCATCTTCTCATCCCTTTGTAGAAAAGGTTACCAAGGTTGTAATAGCAGAGCAACTTCAGGCACATTTAGATTATGTTTTCAGATCAGGATTCCAACCTGGCTATGAGACTGAGAGGGCTTTGGAAGTCCTGTTGGGTGATCTACGTCTAAAGGTTCAGAACAGCCCATGAAATAAGCAAGGAGATTTGTGCAGGTGTAAAGCCCAAGATGAAGTGTCCATGCAACTGAAGCAGATCTGTACAACTTTGACCTTCTGACCGAAAGACAACTTGATAGGCATGCATGATAGCCCACCTGAGGTTCCCTGGAACAGTTTTACTGCCTGCTAAGGGCAGGGTGGACATGTTTTCATGATGGACTTGTGGACTTCCTGGAAACATGACACTGGACTAGTAGATCTCTGATTGGGCTCTTCATTTTGCTGCTCTTTTGGTCAGAGGAAAGTATGTGGAGTTACTATGAAGACTTAAAGGTGATGGGGAAATAATTCTGCATGTACTCTCTTTATCTTTTTAGACCAGGAGAAATTGCTTGTGTGTCACTGTTTCCCTTGCAGGAAAGAGCTACTCATCTGAGCTATATTACATGTGCATCCACAGAAATATTTTTGGCAAGGGGGAAGTAACACTCCAGAAAAATGACTTTGCTGCTACCTCTTGTAATTGTGTTGACACACTTACTCCCAAACAGCAGCTACACTGAAATGCTGGATACCATTATGTTTTCTATTGAGCAACAATAATTTCTCCATCAGGGAAGACCAGCAGAAAAGCAATCCAAAAGTCTAGATAATGGGTGTTTCACTCTAGCCTTATTGGCTAGATCTTCTTTCCTAAGTATTAGTCATTGCTGTTACTTCATGCACTGGCTAAAAGACAGTGCTTGCTGCTGCTGCTGCTTTCAGTCCAGAAATGATACGCAATTGATTGCATTCCTCCTACCCCCATTTACATTCGGGTTTCGTTTGCATTGAAATGAATGGGGTGGAATAACTGAATGACAATGTCATTTTGCCACAGTGGGTAGCGAGATGACAAATGTAGTTTTTGGCGGAAGACAAACTGCAGCAACGCTGAAACAGCGTTGCATCAAATACAGGGCAGAACAAAAAATGAGGCCTTTTTACATTAGTAATTAATAATAATAATAACAACAATAATCACTCTTCAAGGTCCGCTGTGAACCTGAGGTTCAAGAATTACGCCAGTGGCAGAAACACTTGAGGGAAACAAAGAACATTATTAAACGTGTGCGAGAATTCTGGGCCAAGCAAGAGAAAAAAGGTAACTTTTTCTCCCCCCCCCAAACAGGATGTAAGTGGTACAGCTGGAACATTTTGTTAAATGACCAGTTATACTGTGGTTAGCCGAAGCATCCTTTTGTTCAAGCACTAGAGATGGGCAACACTGCCGGTTAGGTTTTTCTCATTTCTCCAATCTTAAGTTCAGTTCTTCACCTTTCCAAATAATAATAGCATCAGTATCCTTTTTTGTTGTTGTTGAAGGAAAGGAAGTCCTTGTGTAAATCAATTGCCACACATATTCAGTTGAAACTTCATGAAGGTTTTCGAAGCAGAACTACTGAACAAATTAGAGATGTGAGCGATCTGGTTAGTAGATGGATCCTGAGATGCATAGAAGTCTGTCTCAGGTGAATCAGGTTGGCCTTGCCCGAAAGCACGAATTTGCTTGGAAGTGCAGACAGTGAATTTCTCCACCATCCCTGGAGGAGACTCTACTTGGGCTCATCGTAGCTCCCATCAAGACAGGGTGCTAAATAATATGTAGCATGTGCTAAAAATAAGATTTCGCTCGGCAGTGCTTGTCAGTTCGGTGCTCTTAACATACATGATGCCTTTTGCTTTTATGACAACATCATTGTATATTCTTGCCATCTTGGTACCTGTGATTGTAAATCCCTTCCAAGAGAAATCTCCCCACAAGTGGTAAGCCTATTGAATTGGTGAATAGGAGGACCAATGTAATAGTGTTTTTTGGTCTTGTTTGAAAGGTCTGGAAAACGTAAGGTATGGAATAATTCCCAAATCGGGATTCTCCCCCCCCCCCACCGCCAGTTTAAAAATAAAATGCAGAACCCTTAAGGGATCTCTGCAATGCAATATAAAGGTGCAACACTGATGGGACAGAACAGAAACGAGCCAACACATGTTGTACAGTGAAGACATTTTGCCTTTTTTATTTTTGAGAAACATCCCAAAGCTTTACGCATCCATTGTGTGCACGGCACATTGTGATGACATTCTGTCCAATACAATGGATATCTCTGTGTTTGCACTTTGCTGCAAAGACAACTGGTTCTCTATCCAAAATGCAGCGGTTCTGGCTCACAATCTATTGGGGCTTTTTTGTTCTTCCAGAAGTTATTATGGTGATAGATGAGGATGATGCCTTGGGGGCAAATGACCTTTGCCACCCCCCACTCCACCCCTGGCTCCAATTTGCTTCTTCACCCTTCTTCATTTTCAAGGGAGGAATGAACAATAAAACCACAATGAAGTTATTGGTTCTTTGGGGGAAGGTTAAGAACCTTATTCCTTTTAAAAGCTGTTATTATTATTATTATTATTATTATTATTATTATTATTAGCATGTATTTCTTATTTTTTCATCGGGCTTGGAAGGAGCATTCTCTTGTAGCTGGTAGAATAGCTTTTGGCATGTTCTTAGTTGGTTTGCCTTTGGTGCCCACAACAGTTTTTCTGGTTTGCAAATGTGTTCACAGGCCTAAAAAGACTAGCAATCTCTGTTTCAGCATTCTATCTGATTGTGGGATTTTTGGTTTGTTTGCCCTAACAAACAGTAGTTGCTTAGCCAACAGAAAGGCATGATTTAAGGCTGGCTAGTGGCCAGGATTTATTAGGTCCAGAGTGGCCCTCAAGATATTAGTGTTCTAGAGTGATAATTTCAAGCATTCAGGAAGGATTCAAAATAAACATAGAAACACACATACAGACTGATTAATTTCAGAATTAATATATGAAGTTACAGGAAAGGGGGTGGAAGTCTTTGTGCCTGGCTCTGAATAGCGGCTGCTGTTTTCAAAATACAAATGTGGCTTTGTTTGGGGCAAAATGTTTGAACAAACAATTTTGTTGCCATGTGATAAACCCCAAAGAGGAAGGGCTATCAAATTCTCTAGCCTTTGGTCTGCCAAGTGATTGCGAGAAGAATCTCGAAGGATGACAGTTACAGTATTATTCCAAATACATTTGGTCAAAGTGTGTATGAAATAAATAAGATGATTCTCAAAGAAATGGGGAGATGACTTTCTACACCTCCTCCTCCTCCTTTCAGTGTTGCACTAATAAAATTGAATAACCACATTTGTATTTTGAAAATAGGAGCCTCTGGAGGAGGAGGAGGAGATGTCAGAAGCTGTAGAGGCCAAGCTCAGAGGCAGAAGAGGTGGCTGGAGGGGAGTGGGGCTAGGAGACAGAGAGACAGGTTTTTGAAGAATCCAAGGAGTCTCCCTCTCCTGCCTGGTCTCCTAGAGCACACAGAGAATTGAAACGAGCAAATCAGAGATTGTTTGTGTGCAGACGCAGTCTTGGGAAAAAACCCTGGAGAGGAGGGGACTTAGGAAGCTGTGGGAATTGTGGAATTGTGGGTCTTCAGTCCTCACAATTGCCTCATTGCGGCAAGACCTATTGGGAATAGTTGCTGGGATTTCTAGGCCTGCACTGTTTTGGTTGCTTTGCATAAAGAGTTAACTTCACTGACACCATGTTTTTATTGCTGATCTACGCTTGACTCCTGCTCCTGACAGGCCCTCCTGTTAGTATGACCGGCACTAGCATTGTTCTCATTTTAGTGCAAAGTGCTTGTTTATTTGCCCAGACATTTCTTAAGGGTTTGGTTTTTTCATCTGCATTCCTGTTGCCGTTTGAACTTTAACTAGTAAAGGGACCCCTGACCATTAGGTGCAGTCGTGACCGACTCTGGGGTGGCGGCGCTCATCTCGCTTTATTAGCCAAGGGAGCCGGCGTACAGCTTCCGGGTCATGTGGCCAGTATGACTTAGCCACTTCTGGCGAACCAGAGCAGCACACGGAAACGCCGTTTACCTTCCCGCCAGAGCGGTACCTATTTATCTACTTGCACTTGACGTGTTTTTGAACTGCTAGGTTGGCAGCAGCAGGGACCGAGCAACGGAAGCTCACCCCGTCACGGGGATTCGAACCGCCGACCTTCTGATCTGCAAGTCCTAGACTCTGTGGTTTAACCCACAGCGCCACCTGCGTCCCTTTGGACTTTAGCTACCTCTTATTTATTCTGATATGGGACTCTGTTGCTTTATGATTTTATTCTGCAGTTTGCTTATATTACCTGTGGCCCGCCATATATTCTTGCACTACAACTCCCATCATCCCTGGCCCCTGGCTATGCTGGCTGGGGCTGATGGGAGCTGGAGTCCAGCAACATCAGAGCTTCCCCACCCCTGACACAGAGAAAGGGTAGGTTATAAATACTTGAGGTATACAAGCACTATTTTGTGGATTTCACAGAAATCTTGAACTGCTTTCCAAACAAAAGCACTGCACTGCAAGTTCGAGGAGCATGCAGCGTTTGCATCGAGTGCTTTCCAAATGCCAGGGATGGTTGGAACACTTGATCGTGGCAGTGACAGCTGAGAATGTGGCAGCAGGAGTCATGCGACCCCAGGGAGGCAGATCCTGATGCCGTAGTCCACGCCCACCACCGGGAAGTCTTTGAAATGCCAAACCCACTGCAGGATTATTTCGCTTTCGGAAAATCAGAAAGGAAACAGCAGTCACGATGGTGGGTAGAATGAAAGGGGATGCTTCGGGTCAGCTGGATCAAACTTCCTGCTAAAGCTATATACACTAATGGAGTCGCATTAACAATCTCGGTGACTGCAATACTGGCTCCTTCTGACTAGTTCACAGATGTATTTACCAGTCAGTGTAGAGGTCTGTCTGGAGCTATATTCCTTCTCTTTGTGTGTGGCCTTATTCTCATTTAGGTGATGAACATTGGTCTGTAGGCTAAAGATGGGAATCTTGTGGCACTCCAGACCACAACCCTTACTATTACTCATGCTGGCTGAGGATGATGGGAGAGAGTAGGAGTACAGCTGCCTTTCGAGGGTCTTAGGCTTCCCATCCATGTTCTGCTTTGCATGATTTGAGGCTGGAGATAGGGCAACTCACACTATTAGAACCTCCCACCCACCAAAAATTGTCATGGAAAGGGCTGGCATTGGGGCTGGCACCAGGTTTATGGGGGGCCATGCCCCGAGACTGAACTGATGACAACTGTTTTGTAGTTTAATGAACCATTTGTAAAGTTGCAACGAACATGCTTTGTGTGCGGAAGGTCCTTGGCTGAATCCCTGGCATCTCCAAGCAGGACTGGAGGAAAATACTGCACAAAACTCTGCTGCCGGTTGGTATAGTAGACAATATTGAGATAGTTGGACCAACTCTCACTTGGTATTTGGCAGTTTCCTAATTTTCTCCAGGCTGCAGTTGTTGTTCTGCAGTTGTTGTTCTGTAATTGCTCTAGGCATCAACCAGGCTGGTACTCTAAGGTGTTCACAATTCCATCTTTGCACGAGGATCGCATGTCTAACAGTCTGAGACTATATAACCAGTAGCTAAAGGGGGGAGCTGAGAAGCTTTCCATAGGATGGAAATTTCAGAAGTGTCCTAATCTGCCCAAAGAGCACTCCCATTCTAAGATGCTATATGAGCATCCCCAACTCCCTCTTGTAACAACCATTTTCATCCATGACGTCACCTAGATTTTGCACTAGACTGTGCATTGTGCTAACTGCTGTTTTAGAACTCAAATCATGAGCATTCAGACCATCATGGAAACAATTGTTTAGAGCAAGTTGAATGGTTTTCATTTCTGTCTAGCCAAGGCTCCCCACTCTAGCCTACCAAAGGTTGTAAACAATGGTTTATCAGTTCAGACACTGCATCCTACTGCAGTTAGAACGAACCCTTGAAACCCTTCAAAGCACTGGTTTCTGATTTTGGTTTGCTTTACCAAAGTATGTTGTTCTTTTGATTGTGCCAAAACGCAGTTAAGCTTCTTTAACCATGATTTGGCGTGATGTCTGGAGTGAGCCACTGCACACTGCCTGTTCTCATTCCAGAGATTATTGTTCAGTCAGCCAAGGGTATACCATTGCCAGTCAATGTATGAGTTTCCAGAAATCATTGCTAGTCATTCCCTTACTATCGGATGCTTCCTGTGCACAGACACGTGCCTCTGAGATTTCTGAATACTTTTGGGGAACATCTTAGCTTTATAATTAAGGTTTAGTTACTCCCTTATCATTACATAGGGCTCTTAGGGCCTGTTCTCATTTCAGCTGCTCATCTGGGGATGGTTTAAAAAAGAGATTTCTTATGATTGGATCTTATCTATTTGATTGAATTCTGGATTCATTTGTTCTCTGCATAGAGCAGTGACAAACCTGCTCCTATTGCTTGCATTTGTTTGAACTTTTGTGTGTGAGGATATACAGCAAAAAAAAATACGTTTCTTAGTCAGAATTGCCCATATCTGTTAGGATAAATATGCAGTAAGACATTGATGAATTTTCATGGGGACTTAAAAAAAGCAAACTAACGTGGAAAGCTGGAGAACTGAATTTAAGACTGGAAAAAATGAGAAACAGAAAGAAACAGAAATGGACAGATTCACCCATCCTGGGGCGGGGTGGGGGGCATCAATAGTTTCCCCAATATCACATGAATTGAATGAACATTATCAATGCAGACTGTGGAGACTTTCCCAGCAGCAGCATTGCATAACTGAATCTATGCATGGGTGACTTTTCAGACCAGACTCTCTTGTTCCATCTAGACAGGCAGCAGCTCCTGTTTCATGCTGATGCTGTTTTGGGCATTTCATTAATCAGCTGGAGCGACTGTCGGATTCTATATCTCTTTTACCCTGAGCCCCTGTGCTCAGTTGCCTTTCTAAAAAGGAAGTATCGTTCCTTTGCAAGGTTGTTCTACTGCTGGCTGTGCAAATTCCCATTCACTATTTGTTTCAAATGTTTGCATTGGGTAAGTTCTCCCATCCCTCACCCTCTTCCTTGGCTTTTTGTAAAAGTTGAGGTAGTGTTGAAGTAAACCTTGACTTGCCCATGATATTGTTGTCTTGCACTGATTGTTTTGATTCAAGCTGCAATCGTAGACACTGACCTGGGAGTTCCTTCTATTTCCACCGTTCAGGCTGCGAGTGCCATTCCTTTTATATAGCCAAAACAACAACACCCCATGTGCAAGAGGGAGGTGTCTACAGGGAACCCTAAGGTTTGCAAAAGTACAACAAATATATTGGGGAAAGAACCCCTAAGTTTGAGTGAGTGGGTGGGTGGGAAACCCCAAAGTAGACTGGGTGTTGTGAGACAGGGAATGGAAAAGGGGGAATGGAATCCCCCCAGTTAATACTAATTTCTGAGCAAACCTGCATAGATTGCTTGCATTTATATCCTACCCTTTTCCACCCTGGCTGAGGCTGATGGGAGTTGGAGTCCAATAGCATCTGGAGGACCCTCTGATATAAAACATGACCATTGCAAGCAGCACTTGCATTCAGGACCTGCTTTAAAAGGGATGTTGAGGTTGACGGCCTATATTTTAGCCTCAATGTTCCTTGAAATGGTCATGTTTCAACACTGCTGGAGGGCTGCACCACACATGTACACACACACTTATAGATGTGGACGTGTAGCAGGGAGTCCTGCTGGCGTGGGCCCAACTGTGACCATGCGGAGATCTCTGGATGCCTGGTTGGCGACTGATATCTCAACCTGGCTGGCCCCTCAAGCTTTCTTAAGCAGGTAAGCAGAAGAGCTTATTCATTGCATTTATATCCCATGTGCATGGTTCACCCCACTCCACAGTTAATCCCTATGGCGACACCGTGAGGTAGGTTACGAGGCTGCGACTGGTCCAAGGTCACCCAGTGAGATTCATGACTGAGTGGGGCTTTGAACCCTGATCTCCCAGGTCCTAGTTTGACACTCTAGCCACTACACCACCCTGGCTTCTTAGAGCTCTTCTGCTATAGGACAGCTATATAAATTAAGTAGGTAAATAAATATGGGGAAAGCAAATGTCACTTAGCGAAGGATCTGAAGTTTTTTCATTGAAGCTTGGATTTGTTTTATACTGGATTGTTTTATTTGATGTTTTAATGTGTTGTTAACCAGTTTAAGATTTTTCCTCTAAAATAGAAATTGGTATAGAAATGAAATGAATAATAACAATAATAATAAAGCCCACGGGCGGGGGGATGGTGCCTAGACACACTGTTGTGGCCACCATAGCCCAGGTTTAAGGTGCCATTTGGTGATTAGATTATACTGAGTTTCTAACACTGCCCTCCAGGCCTCTGGATCAGGCCCTCAGGACTTCCCTGCCAAGGCCATACCCTTCACTGGCCCTGTTTTGCACTCTTGAGTGTTTTTGGCTGGCTGGACCCTGCCCTTGAACTCCCATAATGCCTCGTTTGTCTCGATGGAGGATGCAGAGAGGCACGCAGGTGGGTGTGGAATGACATCCGTTGCTCTGCCCACTTTTCCCCTGGCCTCGCCTACTGCTGACATGCGGCCCTCAGAAAGTTACTCTGATGGAAATGTGGACCTTGGGTGGAAGCTGGTTCATCCCTGGTTTAGATGCTAAAGCCTGGGTGGGAAGGGAGACAGGATTGCTAGACCAGGGACAGGACGAAGTAGGCGGCATTATTGAAAAGGGAGGTATTTCACACATCGGCTTGAATGAACCAGCCCATTCTTCGGCCTAGGCTTCTAGTCTTTTCTACTGCAACCCTCCCAGGCCATGCAAATGCGAGTAGGAGGCTGGGCTTCTGATTTGCAATTATGATACAGGGCTTTTGTTCATTTACCATTGTTGACTCTGACAGGCAAGACCAACTGTGGCCCTTTTGTCTGATGGAACTGCCCAGCTGGTGCACTGCTCTTGAATCACATGAATTAACATTTATTTATTTTTTTGTTTAGAGTTGCAATGCACAAGAAATGGTTTTTATTGATGCTTCTCTTGTCCCCTAAAATAATAGACCACACAAGTCCTTAATATAAATGTTGCTGTGACGTTTATTTCCTTCCTCCGTAAAGAATGTGAGAGGTAACCTACAGTTGTCGGGATTCTTTAGGGCAGGGGTGGCCAAGTTCCAAGACATTGTGATCTACTCACAGAGTTAAAAATGGGCAGTGATCCAGGGGGGTTCAGGTCAAAGTTGTTGACCTTTTTTTAGGGGAGCCAAGATGTTGAGCTTCTTTGGGGGAGCAACTGATCTGCCAGTGCTCTACCACAGACGTTGAGTGCTTTAAATATGTGTACATAGCAACTTTTGTGGGGAATCTGAAGGCAGATCTGCTGGGCCCTAGTCTTGACACTCTGTCGACACATCTATTATAACCAGTCTGGAGTTTGAGATAAAGTTCTGCATTTTAAAAAATCCTTTTGCTTGTAGTGGGAACCAAGCTGGAAGACTCAGTACAGCCCAGCCCAGTTCGCTCAAAACAGGCAGTGGTGGAAATCTTGCCGGAGCCAGAAGTCACCACGGTCACAGAGAAAGAGGAAGAAAATCAAACCCTTCCAGTTTTGACAGATGAGAATCCACAAATGGGTCAGATCAGCTGGGCATCCACGCGTGATTTAGCTCTGCAGTGATACTACTTTTCATACTAATTTAAAAGCCCCAAATCGTCACCATCAGCTGCTGATTAAGGGAGCAGGGCTCAGCGAAGTGTTTTCCACTGTAACCAAATGGTGTTTGGGGTCAGCTTGGGGGCTAAAATCCCTCCGGCACTTTTCAAAGAAGATCACTGTGTAAGACAGCCTGATTTACAGCCCACCTCAATGCCACAGTCCTTTAACCTGATCTTGGTCCCATCAACTTCAGTGTGATTGAAGATTGGTTCGTTCTAAGTATGAATGAAGGCTGTAAATCAGGCGGACCAGGGAGATGCAGGCACTGGCTGATGTTCCGATTGAGGTAGTGGCATAAACAGTCACGAGGTGGCTCATGCGCCATCCAAACACATCAGTGTTTATGTAAGGGGAGAAACCCAGCTAGATCAGAGTGGTTGCTTCTATCCCCACTTGTGATTGGAGACAGGAGACCATACTAGAGGATGGGGATGTTGGACGTACCATAGCCCAGTTAGCACAGCCGATGGCCCAGAAGGATGGGATTGCAGTACAGCAGCTGGAGGGGCTCACAGGCTTTCCACCCCAAGTCAGAATAATCCCCATCCGGGCAACTAATCAATAAAATTATGCAAGCAATCCAAGGAAGCGTTCTCTCCCCAAACTGCCACATTAAGAGGCTGCCATTGTCCCAGATGTTGGACTACAACTCCCATCACCCCTGATCACACTGATGGGAGTTGTAATCCACAACATGCAGAAGGCACCATGTTGGCTGTTGCTGCTGTGGCGCTACCACCCTGTTCCAAATGGCATGAGCAGCTGAGAAGTCATTGGAAGCCCCTCGAGAGATCTAGCCAGAACCCTATTAACACCTGCGCCAATGGAACGGGACGCTGCCTCTTTGAACGTTACAAAAATGTCAACCCTTCGCGTTTTCGAAGGACAAAACCAAAATGACCACCACATTGTAAGTAAATAGTAAAGCCTTTATTTTTGTTTTGTTTTGTTAAGAACAGCATTTTGAAAATAAAATGTCTTTGCCCATGCTTTACAACTTTTTTTGTTTTGTTTTCGTTTTAAATTTCGTATCTTTATGTACAGTCATTATGGTACACATTTGATTGTCTTGAAAACCTTTCCAAAGATGTACAAGATTAAACAGTATGCAACGGTCAGCAGAGTGGGAAAAGGGGACATTATAAAAAATGCACATTAATACATTTAATAAATATATATATTATCAAAAAAAAATGAGACTTGGCTCTCATCAGTTAATAAAAGCACCTGCTGTGTAATCTGGTAAGGTGGCAAGAGTAGTCCAATCTGTTCTCTTTTAAATAAAAGCTACATGTGCTTCCAGTTGTACTGCCTTTGGTTAGAACAGAAGCCTCAAGCAGAGTTAAGCCAAGAACGATGCCATTGCCTAGCAGTTAAAGCTAGAATTTTAACACACCTTGTTTATCTAGGACTGCATCCTGGAAGACACAGGATCCTTTGACAAGGGCATCTGTGCCCCTTGAAACCTTCTCCACCATCTTGAAAAGAGATGCTGAAGTGGAAACTACTTCCCAATCTCTGGATCTTCCTTGCACAGGGTGTAAAAAGGGCTGGTGTATAGCAGGAGAGCCCTTAATCCGGGTGGTGCACTCAGGTTGGCCACCAGCATTCATCTACAGCTCAGGGCTAACGTGTGCCCTCACCAGAGCCACTCCAAGTCAATGGCTTCAATCCCAAAATTTCATGGGGCTCTGGATGGGGCACATGCCCCAAATTCCATGTATTCACCCACCAGAGCTGCTCAACCGAAGCCAATAGGTGCAGGCTGTTTGCAACTGGCGGATGCAATCCTTTGCACAGTGCAGTGCAAGGTTCACCAACTCTCAATCATTTCTGTGAAATGAGCCAGCCAGGCTCCTCTCACCGGCCAGTGTTCTTAGCCAATGGGCGAAGTCAGAACCCTGCTTGGACACCAGGCAATTGGAATCCCTGCGGTCCTAAAGAGCTGCTGCTTCCCTCTCCTCTTTAATGCACTTTCCTTGCTTCTTCCTTGTTTTCCAGGAAGAAATTCAACAGAACAAGCCTCTTCTCCCATGGAAATACAGCCATGGGAAAAGCTTCGCCCTGATTGTACTCTCTAATTCTGTGTGACGCCTTGCCTTCCACGACAACCATGTTGTGTTATGTCACACACACCCCGTTGACAGTCCATTTGTGAAAGGCACCCCCAGCAATCTCTCAAAATGCAAAATGTGACCCCTGGTCCAAAAAAGGATAGTGACCCCTGGTGTATTTGCTTAATGGATTGCATTTTTCTTCTAGCTTATGGAGGTGCCACCTAGCTCATCTCAAAAACCCAGCATGTCAACAACAGTCTAAGGTGCCTTATAGAACACAATTCTGCCATAACTACTCAAACGTAGGTTTCATGGTATTTAATGGGGTTTACTCTCAGGAAAGTGTGCATAGGGTTGCATCCTAAAATATATATACATATATATTCCTCCCACCCCATTTGAGTGGCATTATTGATTGGCAACAATGGAGAACATAGTAGCTTTTACGCTTCCTAGAGTGAGTTACAGTGAAACCAAATCCCCTTCCCCCTAGTAGTTGTGCTTACTGTTGTGGAGTTACAGATGCTTTACATTCGTAATCACTTTCCTCAAAAGGCAAAAGTATAAACAACTTCGTTACATTAACAAAAATATAACTTAACATAAAAGTGCCCCTTTTAAAAAAATCAACAAGTGGTTTTCTTTTTTGGGGGGGGGGGTGGCAGAATCTGACATCACAAGTTACAGACTGACAAAAATATAAATTCATTCCAAAACTAACTTGCTGGGAAAATGAATCAATCCCTTATTTTATTTATTTTTATTTTATTAAGGTTTAATCTGCACACCTCCCACCACTATGAAGCAAGGCTCGGGTTGACATGAGTGGTTAAGGGAAGTCCTGTGTTTGCAGGATCCAGCCCTGTCTTTAAGATCCCAAACTGCCATTGACTTAAGGGGAAGCAGGATTGCTAAATCCCTTCTTGTCTAAAAAACAAACAAACAAACATTGAACATCTTAAATTACACTCCTTGAAAGTATTTTTTTTTCTTTAAAGTCAGCCCCCCACCCCCATATAATTAAAAAAAGAAACACCACCAACCCAATCGCTTCCAAAAATATATCAACACTCAGCTGGGAAAAAGAAAATTGTTTTGCCATTTATGCCATGTGCATCTTATGTGTGTGTTTTTTTTTAATAATAGAAGTTTAAGAAAAGTCCATTTTTCAAACTGCACTTTTCCCATTTCCCTTAAAATAAAACCCACACATGAAAGCACCAGCTAAGATTTTATATAGTGATAAAATGAGACCCAACCTGTTCAAATCTCAATAAAATGCAACACTAATATTTATACATTTTCTGAATGCATTCACCGTGTGTGGTTCTTTTCTGTTGAGAGCACATAAAGCAACTGTTTGTGCACAACAAAAAAGTTATTGCTATTACCTAGTCCAGGGGATGGGGGGGACGGGGACTTGGTAAGATAATCATGGCAAGAATGGCAATATATACTTTCTTTTAGACTATATAAGTGTGTATCACAAAAATCCTGATCTTGTACCCCTTTTGCTACTAAATAGACCAGCCAGGGTCAGTGAGGCTACTCATGGACATTTAAGGCCTAGTTTCATTGAGGTGAAGGTACTATTTCAGACTGCAGGTAGAACATCTTAATTCATGTCTCTATTTTGGGGCTTTATGCCTCGCCCTTTGTTTCCAACGGGAGCAGCTCGAGGTGGCAGACATGATCTTAAACAACAATGACGATACAGAAAAGAGGCGTTCAAATAATACAATCAAATCATGAATACAAGAGCAAGAACAGCATCAATTTCCCACTCCCCACAAAACAACAGAGCAGGAAGACTGAGAGAGATCAAAATATAAAAGTCCAATGCTTTCCTAAATAAATAAATTAAAAAAGTCTTTCCACCTCATAGCAGGAGAGCTTGAGTGAATGGATGAGGTGAAACTGAGAAGAAGACTCAGTCGTTTGGGTGATACCACAGAGAAGGCCCTTTCCTTTGGTCCCATCATCCAAACCTTGGACAAATGAGCTCAGGTAAGGTTTAAGGGCCTTCTCTTCCTAAGAAAGGGGTAATGAACGTGGGGCCCTAGGGATGATGTTGGACTAAAACAATACCATCATCCCTGATGTTTAGCTACCCTTGCCTTAAGGTGTCTGGGTCCTAAGCCAGAGATTGGGAACTTCTGGCCCACAGGTCAGATTTGACATGGCAGTGTTCCCAATTTTGCCTGCGAGACTGTTCCTCATGAATCATGGCTGCTTGGCGGACAGCTGACAAGTTACATGACTACACAGGAACAACCGGGAGCTTGAAATGAGCTCCCGATTGCTCCCTTTGTGGAGCAAGCTACGCTCCCACAGCCCATGAGCTGACAGGCGAGGGGAACAAACCTTGCTCCAATAGTACCAAGCAGCTTCTATTGAAATTTCTGCTAAAACGGAGGAGAGGGAAAGCTTCATTTTAGCAGTGGTGTCAATGGAAATTTTTTGATGAGTGGGATAAACCCTCCTGCCAATCATCTGAGGTCTGGTGACTGACAGGTGGGTTGACTCACAGGAGTGGGGACATAAAGATCTGGAACCTGCAGCCATAGAAATCACCCACCCTGCCCTCACCCTAATTGGACTTTAGATGTAATGGATTGTGCCCAGATTCTAACACAGGAAAATGCTTACTACTTTCCCCCATCCAACCTGGGATTATCTTTTTTCACTGCCAATGGTTCTCCAGAAGCTTCAAGCTGGTACAAGAACAAAAGAAAAGGACCCCTCAGATTGGCTTCCACAGCTGCTGTGTTTTGAACCACCGACACCTTTTGGTCACTCTCCAAGGACAGCCCCACAGACAGCGTGGAACAGTACTCCAGCCTTCCTATGCCAAACACAGGTGTAACCAGGGCCAGATTCCACCTTTTCCAAGAACGGGTGGTGCTGGCACACCAGGCAGAGCAGAGGAAAATTACTTCTGCTTAACACCACCACCTGAGAATCTAAGAGCAGTGCCAGATCTAGGGTGGAGTTCTCCTAATCACAAATGAATAGAAACCCCTGCATATAGAAACATAGCATGGCAGGGTTTTCCCCAACTTGCTGGCTTTCTGCAGGCAAGGAATGTCCATTGCATAGAAGAGTTTTCAATCAAATGAGCCTCCAGCTCCTTGCAAGCATTGGAAGAGTGCTCCAGACGTCGCTGAATCCAAACCACCTGATCTATTCCAAACACCTCCAACATCCCTGATTTGTGGCCACCCACCCTCTGCCAGAAAACTGTTGTTAAAAACCGGTTGTTAAGTCTGAAGTGTTACTACCCAAACGACGAGTTGGTGACCTCAATGAGAACTAGGCCGAAATTAACAAGATCAGGCTTATAGTAAAGAAACCAGGGACATTTCCCAAAGTAAAAATTTTAAAAAACCTGTCTTCTTTCCTTTGCAGGATACAGCCTTGCAAAGCTACTCTGTTATGTGGTCTTTATTTTGTTACATTATCATTTATATTCACCATTTGAAAATAGATATATATTAATGAGAACAGATGCAAAAGAATTCCATCCTTCCGCATACTTTGCAACTTCATGTAGTGTGTGTGTGTGTGTGTGTGTGTGTGTGTGTGTGTTTAGGAAAAAAAAAACACAAGCAAACCTCAATTGCTTTTTTTTTCTGCAGGAAAGCAGGGCACAATGCTGGCTTGACTGGAGGATGTGATGGCTGTTCACATGCCCAATATGCGTTCGATGCTAAACAAATGAAGGGATGCTCTGGCGAACATCATTAAAACCATAAAAATGTGAAAAGGCAGGCAGGCACATGGGACCCTCTGGTGAAACGGGGTGGGGAAACAACCACACACTTCGTTCCCAACCCCCACATGAAAATAATCCCATTAGAAAACACATAAAGGAATAAAATCCTCTGTAAAAAAAAAAAGCATACAAGGAAATGAACAACCCATTGCAGCCAATGAGACTCCAGTGCTAAACTGGAGTTGGGAGGAGAGTGATGGGGGAATCCAATGTTTTTTAGTGAACCCTGCCCAAGGGGCGCCTCAGCTTTCCTAGATTTCCTGTGTGTCTGGTTCCACTTCTTGGACACCCTTATGAGCCACAATAGCCTTGGCCTGCCCTCTCTCTCCCAACCCCTTCTGCACAACACGATTTAATAGCACGTGCTGCCTTCGACATGGCCGTGTGCAAAAGAGGCGGAGCAAACACAGCCCCGCCCCCTTTCTGCAGGAAGGTTGCTGGGGTGCTTCCGGGCCAGCCGCCATGGACCAGCCTGCACTTTCTAAAATAACAAAGTTGGTTCCTCACCCTTGTACGGCTGGCCTTAGAAACCCAGTATATACACAGTGGTACTTTCCTTCATTTTGGAGTGAGAAATGACCTCTAAAAAGGGCCTGGGATGGCCAGGAAACACTATTCTAGATGGATATAATTTTATTTTATTTTTTGACCCTATGACCACTCTCTCCTTTCCAAGATGGCCAGTTAGGTTGTCAGAAAGCCTGCCGGGCTGAGCGCAGTGGCAATCTGAATTAAGGACTCTTTTGTTCTATCCTCTTCATCTCAAAACTTGGAAGGCCGGACAAAGGCCATATTTGCCTTGCGTTCTGGTTGCAGCAGAGAGTTGCCTTGCCATTTCTGAACACTGTGTCCCCTTTCTCCCGTTTTTATTTTTGGAAGAGTGCGCCCACGTCTATTTTTAAACTTAGTTTTAGCTTATATTTCACTGCAGAGGTTTTGCTTTTGTGGTTAGCTTATCAATTCAAACGGCGCTCACATTTTTATTTTTATTTTTAAAACAACAACAAGCTATCCGGTCTAGGATCTCCCATGCTCCGTGGATGGGTCCCCTCCTCCCGCACTGCTGGTGTCCTGTGCTAGGATTATTCACTCTTCCCTCAGAAAAAAATAAAACAACGCACACTGCCAGGAAATAAAATCTGTCTCTCTCTCTCATCCTCTACAGCCTATAAGCTTTTTCACCAAAGGTGTCTTCCAGTGTAACTTGGTGGAGCAGTTGGAATCTGGAAATAAGGATAATAAAGCCATAACTAAGCATTCTAGACCATTAAGAAATCACTTAAGACAGGCTGCATGATATACACAAAAGCACACAGAGCCATCCCAAATTAACACCATGGTCAGTCAGTATGCTAAGGACTGTAGCCAATGTTAAGTCGTACTCGAGAGTTGGAATTAATGGGAATGATCACTGCTGGTCCGCGACTTTCAGCCGGCCTGCTCTGAATAGCAGACAACTCGAGGGGTTTTTGTAACATGCTCTGCGAAAACCTAGCTGTCAGCGAGGTGGACAACCTCTGGGCTGGATACCCAGGTCCTTCATCCTTTTCTTTATGAACATTATGAAGCAGCATTCTACTACTGAAGGACAAAAACACCAAATTCTAGCTTCTGGGATCTCCAGCCCTTTCCCCCATCACTTCTGGAGAATATTTCAGGGAATGAATTTGGGACCACCAAATTATGATGTCTCCCAAGAAGAAGGGTTCTAGACTAGTCTTCCCCTCAGACATGATAGCTTTCAGTCATGCAGCCTGGAAATGGTACAGGCCAGACTCCAGCTGACTACTTCAGTGAGCTGGGCCAAAGCTTGTATTGGCTTGTACCCACTGCGACAGGTAGGCCAGAAGGCAGGGAAGCCAACAGTAGGTGGCGCTAGAGCTAATAGCAGACTCATCCTAGCTTGGTCCCCATCCTCCTACAAGGGCAAATCTGAGAAAAGAGGAGGAAGGCGATAGCCAGGGGCACCAGCTGGACTGGTTGTATGTAAGAAGGCAGACAGATGGGAGCTGACTGAGGTCAGTGTATTGGACCAGCTTCCATTGCCCAAAGCACGGGCACCTACAAAGGAGGAGGGGAAGAAACTCAGCTTCCTTGTGGGTGATGAATATTGAGTGAATAAACTGAACCCCCCCCACTAGATTTTAGTCTTGTGGTGTGCAAATCTCAGCCTCAGATCATGGCACTTAGCGGATATTTCTAAATCTAACGTTGACTCCTAGGGAAAGGCCACAAAAGCAAACTGCCTCTTTCAGACCAAGCGATCAAAAGCCAGGTTGCAGCCAGTATAATCAACTAAATTGTGGCTTGGGGAGGGAGGGAGAGGGCAGCTTATTGCAGCTCGGAATGGAATTAGCTCAGAGCAGTATTAGCTGCAGAGAGCCGCTCTTGAGCTCCCCCTCCAACTGGTTACAGCCTCACAGGGGCAATCTGGCTCCCAGGGCTCTGTCCAACAGTGTCTCTCCACCCCCACCCCCCTCGCCGAGTGAACAGGGCTGGCAGCAGGCTGGGGAACAGACCTTACAAACTGATGGTAATATTTGTGCATTTCAAAAAAAATAAAAAAAAATTGTGTGTAAATCTGCAGTATGGTATCAGCAAAACCCCCCAATGATAATAAAAGAAAACAGCCCAACTTGCATGGAGCAGAAGCTGGCTCATGAGTGGCCTTTTAAGCAGCATGTATGTAGGCATGGACATTTTTTTAAAAAGTGGGTGGGGGGGATGAGCGTTTTCCTTTCACCAGCAAGCCGGAGAGAGTGAGCACACAGAAAAGCGGCCTGTGGAGTTTCTTGGGTGCACTTAAACACACACAATGCAAATGAGATGTAAGGAGGCTGTTTGGCTCCAGATCTCTCCGTAAGCCACTCTCGCAGTGACCTGGCTGCGGATTAAGAGAGCAGCTCGCGTCCCAAGGCCACGCAGACCCGTTTGAGCGAACTCTCTTGTGCCGGCTTCTGTTTGGAGCAGTGTGTTTCTATCAGGAGCTCAGCACAGGCACGTGTGTGTGTGTGTGTGTGTGTGTGTGTGTGTGGAACTATCATAAGGAAAGGTGGCAATGTCCTCAGCGAAAGAGGGCCTTTGTAGGGAAAGTGCTGGCTTTTCAAAAAGGAAACAAAACCCAGATGTCTGTTGCAATTTTAAAAAATAAAAAACCAGACACCTGAATTGCTGTTAACAGTGGACATTGAGATATAACTCATTTAAGGGGGGGGTGGATGGCATTGTTTGGACCAATCCTGAAACGAACAATCTTAGCAGCAAAAGCTTAAACGGCCCAACAATGTCAGGAAAATTTGGAATTTAAGTCATCTTCTGAAGGACTGCATGCAATACTTATTATTTGAACCGTTCATGTCCCCAGTCTATCCTGCCTCCCCAAATATGCGTAAGCATCCAATTGAATAATGTTCTGAGTTGAAACCAGAGGTTGGGCATTCACCCTAAAAGGCAGCATCTTCTAGAGTCACATTTTGATACTTACAGTCCCACCATTCAGGACAACTGCCATCTCAGTGGGCTGGTAGACGTTGCTTCTAAAGGGGGCGCCGGGGCGGCTACCCAGGCTGCCGTTGCGAAATCCTGCAGTCCGCAAAGCTGTGTGTGGTATATTTTGGGGTGGGGAGAAAGAAAAGACAGGTAAAAGAAAGATGTTTGCATTCTGGAAATATATATATATAAAGAACTGTATCCTGCTTCCCTTACTGGCCCACCAGATGCCTCTGGGATGTCTGCGAGCAGGTTGACATCCTAATGGCCGCTGTGGGTGCAAATGGTAGGTGCAACCTAGTGTTGCAGTGTAAAGTGCTCCTCATCGAGGATTCCAGCCAACTCCATTCTATCTCAATCCTTGCCAGGTTTTCCACACATGTCACCTTCCAGCAACCAGTCAACGTTCTGTGATCACTGACCATGCCAGTCTTCATTGGGCCATTTCTGGGCTCCGCTACACTCTTGCCTTACTTTCCCCAACTCTAAAGATTTTATGTACCTCTGCAAACCTTTGGGATCTCTGCTCCCTCCCAGAAACCTGCTGATACCTTCCCTCTTTACTACTGTTTTGATTACCTTAGGATCACCTGCACTCACATCCTAAACCTCGGAAAGGAAGGGAATAATACCACCTTTGAGTACTGAAACAGAGAGCATATCCTATCCATGCCATATATTTAAAGCGCATCCAAAGCACATATAAAGCACAAGATGTCCCCCAAAGAATCATGGGATCTGTAGTTTGCTTGGGGTCTGTGAGGGGTAAACTACAGTTCCCAGGATGCTTTGGGGAAAAGATGTGTGCTTTAAAGATGCACTGAATGCACTTCAAATGTATAACTACTACTAATAATTTTTTTTAATAATGTGGATCTGCCCAAATATTTCATCACATGGAAGTACAAAGACTAACAGGAAAACCTTATTCCTAAACTTCATAGATGGCAACTAGAGATGCGAAAATCTAGTGATTTCAGTTTCTCTCGGTTTCTCATTTTTCCAATCTTAAATTTAATTCTTCACATTTCTGCATCAGCCTGCTGTCCAGCCGTCCCCTAAAAACAACTGTTTACTTTTCATGTCATTAGGTTTTTTATATCAATTTATCTCTCTTATAAAGTACCAGTTCAGAAAGCTACAAAGTGATAAAGTTACACCACAATGAAATGAAAAGCTGGTGAATTTAACTCTACAGAAAAGAGTCAAAGCAATTCAAAAAACATTGTGAAAGTATTTGCAGTTTCTTTTTTAAAAAAGAAAAAATCCTAATAAATTCATTAACATTTTATTGTGCATTTCTCCCAATCTACACCATTTTTTTTATATCTGCTCAAGAGAAGTTCTTCCTATGTTTCACTGAAATCTACCCACCTAAATCTACTTAAGCCCATTAGATAGACTCTTGTCTTCTGACTAATAGTGATGGCTGGTGCCCATTGGGACTGGTAAGGTGGACTGCTGGAAGACCAACAATAGGGAGAGCCAAAACCAATGGCAGGCAGGGCTAGAGCCTACTTTTGTCCCATCCTCCTCCCTGCTGAACTCTATAAGGGCAACACAGAGGAGGCAGGCTGTTGAGAGGATGGTTAGAAAGAGATTGAGGCTGGTGGGGCAGAGCTCCATTCACTCTAATGGACCAGCCTCCACTGCTTCGGGGACAGCAGAGAACAAATATTTTCCCACTTTGCTAACAGAAGTGCATGACAATCCTCCTTGTTGACTCAGAAGGAAGCCCCACTGTGCTGTCATGCCTAAATGAATGTATATAGTATTACAGATGTTTTAGAAAAGGAGGAGCTCTCAATTTTGGTCATAGCAAAAAAGGTGGGAGGTCAGGCAATATTTGGTTTCTCATATCCCGTTCCACTGGGAAGCTTCCAATATATTCTATATACATAATTATTATATCGCCTTTGTGAAATAACATCTAGCAAGCTTGCTGCAATCTGCAAATTTCAATGCAGATGGTGAAAATATTGACTGGCATGAAAGAATCACAAATATTCAGACTTAGGCAGATGTTGGGGAGAGGCTTTCCTTTCCATGTTAATCTGAGACAAAAACAACAAAGGGGGCAGAGGACAGACACACTTTCCAGACAGCGGTAGTGCACATTTAAATCTACCCACTGATGGGTTCAGTGCAGGTGAACAGCGATTAATCTTCCATGGAATTCTGCCAGCAAATGCCCACTTGTAATCTGATTGGCTACTCAATGGTAGTGACCTGTAATGTGGTTGGTTCCAGCAGTGTGACCAATTTTCAGTTGTTCCTAATTAGCTAGAATTTTGTCTTACTTCTGTATCCAAGGGCAAAGTTAACTGGACAGCCAAAAGATATTAAAATCTGGACAGCCAAGGACTGCGTACTTCACTGCTAGGCACATCAGAAGGCATTGCACAGCAAGCCCATGGTTCACCTCTTCTGCACCTGGGCAAAAAATTACACCCCAGAAGAAATCCCAGCAGCCTCTTACACTAGAAATATAAATCCTCTCTTGCTGGACCATTGAGGTGCTATTGAATAAAGAGGATTGCTTTTATTTGAGACACCACAGACACCCTGAACTTCTGGTTTTTATTTGGTCATCCCCCTATTTCATTTCTGCACATGGCAACAACCTCTCCTCCTTCACTGCCCTCTTAAACCTGTTATGGATAGTCTGGTGCCTACTGAACACATTTCTGCCTAGGAAAGCTTTCCCTGAGGTGTAACAACGGTCATTTATGGAAGATCAATTTAATATTTGATGAAACGTTGCTTTTGCTGTTTTTAGAGTTTGTTCAGATAGTAAAGGTAAAGGTACCCCTGCCCGTACGGGCCAGTCTTGCCAGACTCTGGGGTTGTGCGCCCATCTCACTCAAGAGGCCGGGAGCCAGCGCTGTCCGCAGACACTTCCGGGTCACGTGGCTAGCGTGACATCGCTGCTCTGGCGAGCCAGAGCCGCACACGGAAACGCCATTTACCTTCCCGCTAGAAAGCGGTCCCTATTTATCTACTTGCACCCGGGGGTGCTTTCAAACTGCTAGGTTGGCAGGCGCTGGGACCGAACAACGGGAGCGCACCCCGCCGCGGGGATTCGAACCGCCGACCTTTCGATCGGCAAGCCCTAGGCGCTGAGGCTTTTACCCACTGAGCTTTATCATATTAAGAGAATGTGGTATTAGTGTGTGGAAACAGTTCAGATCCAATGATTCCCCAGGCATGCACCTTCAGATGGTGGAGATGCCAGGTCTCATCCTGGCACTCAGGCAACTTCACTTGGTCGCCAGTGGCCGATAGCCAGGTGCAAAATGCGCCTTTCGCCTGACTAATCTGGTCCTGAGGTCCTGAGATAGAGAGGCCTAGAAGGCCATGTCTGACCCCAGGACCTGAGGTTCCACATCCCAGAGCATCACTGACTAGCAGTGGTTCTCCAGGGTTTCAGACACAGTTCTTCTCAAACTGGAGAAGCCGGGGATCAAACCTGGGACCTTCATGATACTGAGTCAGACCACTGGTCCACCTAGGTCTGTATTGTCGGCACTGATGGTCCATCAACGAGCCCTACGTGGAGCTGCCAGGGCGAGACTCCACCTGGCGCCTTCTGCATACAATGCAGATGTTCTACCCTGCACCCCTTCCCAAGGTGCTATATCTCTACATTGCTATATCTCTATATTGAGTGCTATATCTCTATATTGGGAAGCTGCACCACTTCCCAAGGTGCTATATCTCTACAATCCAATATGTTAAGGAGGAGTGCTAAGTTCTCATTTGTTTCTACGTAGTAAGAATTCAAAGACGATGGGGAAAAAGTAAAGCCAAGGCTTTAGAAGTCAACTTCCAAATGAACCAGAATTCAGCCATGTGACAAAATCAGCAGTCTCTCATGGGATCTGGGGTGCGGGAAAACCAGCCCCAACAAGCCAGTATCTTCAAAAGCTTTCAAAACTCGCCTGTCATCTCACTACAAACATTTTGACATGGAGCACTCCAAATTCAGAGTTGTGCTGAGGAAACAAAGATTTAAATTGGCAGTGGCTGGTTACTCGCATACTAAACAGCTGAAGAATGCCCTTGCCTCAAACCACCGAGCTGCTGACAGACCGTGTAGACAATACTGAACCAGACGGATCCCAAGATAGGTTACCACATTAAAACACATTAAACACAGCTGAAAACAACTTATAAGGCTGCTTTTTATGTCACCAATCATTTCAAGGAAAAGAAAAGACACACTTTGTTTTTAGATAGTTGATGTGGCTTTCCAGGGGTTATTGTACTACAACCCCAATCATCCCTAAGTACTGGCCATGCTGTGTGGGACTAAGAGGAGCTGAAGTCCATTCTCATAGGGAGAAACACAGGTTAGGCATCACAGGCACCACCACCAAAACAATCACAAAAATAACAAGGCTCTAGTAACCTAATTCTAAGGGAAACTAAACCCAGGATGAGCACTGTAACCCTGAAATTTCTCACTGCTCGGAAGTGGGTGGTAGGGTGGACTGTTGGAAGACCAACAGTAGGGGGAGCCAGAACCAATGGCAGGCAGGGCTAGAGCCTACTTTTGTCCATCCTCCTCCCTGCAGAACTCTACAGGGGCAACACAGAGGAGGGATGATTGGAGCAACAGGGATGATTGGAGAGAATGCCCTAGGAACTCCAAGTTACAAGGAACCAGGCAGAGGGCCTTCTCGGTAGTGGCACCCGCCCTGTGGAACGCCCTCCCACCAGATGTCAAAGAGAAGAACAACTACCAGACTTTTAGAAGACATCTGAAGGCAGCCCTCTTTAGGAAAGCTTTTAATGTTTAACAGACTACAATATTTTAATACAGTGGTACCTCAGGTTAAGAACTTAATTTGTTCTGGAGGTCCGTTCTTAACCTGAAACTGTTCTTAACCTGAGGTACCACTTTAACTAATGGGGCCTCCCACTGCCGCTGTGCCACCGCCGCACAATTTCTGTTCTCATCCTGAAGCAAAGTTCTTAATCTGAGGTACTATTTCTGGGTTAGCGGACTCTGTAACCTGAAGCGTCTGTAACCCAAGGTACCACTGTACTTTGTTGGAAGCTGCCCAGAGTGGCTGGGGAAACCCAGCCAGATGGGCAGGGTATAAATAATAAATAAATAAATAAATAAATAAATAAATAAATTATTATTATTATTATTATTATTATTATTATTATGATGATGAAGCTGCCAAGCTGTCTCTGTTTGGACAAAACTGTTGCTCCTGCTACATCCTTCATGTCCGAGCAGATGGGATGGAGGGTATGCCTGGATTACTGCATGTGTCTCTCTCTCCTGAGCCTGACAGGATAATCTTTTCACAGCGGGAACAGGCTCCTGGTTGATTAGCCTCGTCCCTTTAAGCTGAATTACATGGCTGTCATCCTTGGCAATCTGGGGCGGTCGCTGCAGGCCTGAGTGGCGCTCAGCTCTCAAAAAGATTGCTCTGTTGCAGACTCTGTCCCCAACCCAAGTGTCGGAAAGGTGATACGAGAAGCGAGACCCAGCTCAGTGGTACAGCACAATGCTCTGCAAGCAAATGGCCCCATGCTTTATGACTATTACATCAGCATCCAAATTGAGTGCTGGGGGCTGCACAAGATGTACAGAACATTTCTACCCCTTAGACACATGCCTGCCAACATTGCACAACTGTAAAGAAGGAGTCTCTTACAGTACTCCTCATAAGTAAGAATCACATCCCAGAATCATCTGGGTGGCTCCTGCAGATGCTTTGTTTAGAACAAAATGGCTGCTGGCCACTCCAATGTTTATGGGAGAAAATTTGTAGCATGTTGTCCACACCAACAGATACACACCACTGTTGTTGTTTTTTGAGGATGATGGTGCTTTTTTCCTTATACACACCAATGACAGGATGTGTTCAGATTGGAAACAGTGTTTGAAATTAGCCAGGTGCCAGGCAAATTTTGCACCTGGCTATCGACCACTTGTGACCAAGTGAAGATGCCCGGGTGCCAGGATGGTGTCTGACATCCCCATTATCTGGTGGTGCATGCCTGGGGGCCATTGGCTCTGCCCTCACACACTAATACCACTTCCTGTAGAAACAGGCCAATATACATATATCTTCTTTAAGTTCCTCATGTTCTTAACCTAGCTCAAGGGAGTCATCTGAACTAGACAGATGTTTAACTGATAATCAATTGCAGTCAGTCCATCATTTGGAAAAAAATAAGACTCTAGAGCTGTCTTGCTCAGAAATGGCAACTGGACATTTCATTTTGGCGACTGCAACCTTGGTTTATGGAGCCATTTGCCGCCTAGCTTATTTATCAAGAGTTTGCAACACAGAGAAACGTTTTGTGGCTGCAGCCACGTCACTTCCATTCACTTGTTCATTCAACCGGCAAATGGGAGTTTCAAGTGGGCAATACAGGGTATCGATAGCACATTCGCAGGATTCCTGAGGTCAGGCTGCAGGAACTTCTTGAGTTCACTGTTTGGGTCTTAGCTATGGATAACCCCTTGTCAAAAAAGCACAAGGGGGAATGTAAGAACATAAGAAGGGCCTGCTGGCCCAGGCCAATTACTCATCTGGTCCAGCATCCTGTTACCCTGTTGCCCAGATGCGTCTGGGAAACCCGCAAGCAGGACCCGAGGATGAGAGGAGTTCCGACCTGGGTCTCCGCTTCGCCGTAGCAGACGACCCGTTTCTGCAGGAGCTTCCCCTTCACAAAGTAAAGAGGACCGCCATTACCGTTCGCGCCGCCCCCGGAAGTCTCAGTCTTCATGCATAGTAGCCATTGATAGGCTTATCCTCCATGAATTGGTCCAATCCTCTTAGAAACGGCACGAAACAGAAGCTGCTTAAAGCACACCCCAAATGCCGGACAAAATGTGGGAAATTGCACAAGGCACCTTCCTCACAAGGGACATATTGCAGAACATATTCCAGGTCTTTCACAAAGGTTGCATTTTTCTGTGATAGAAGAAAAACTGGTTTGATGACTGCAGTATTCCGGAATAGTGATAAATTGATGTAATGCGGGGGGGGGGGAATCCCAAACAGTTATAGCGCCGCTAACGGTACATCTGGAAGTGCTCCAGGATGCTGGACTCTTGGCCTGACCCAGCAAGGCCCTGCTGATGTTCTTATTACAGCCTGAACAATGCCCATTGCACATCCTTCAAAACTTCTCTGCCTGCTGTATGTACAGCAGGGATCCATTTATTCTGTAACAACCTGACCTGCACTATCTTCTCCAATGCAAGGATGTGCTCCTAACCAATCACAAATGTTTCCTTTTCTTTCCCTTGTTGTTGTTTAGTCGTTTAGTCGTGTCCTACTCTTCGTGACCCCATGGACCAGAGCACGCCAGGCACCTCTGTCCTCCACTACCTCCCGCAGTTTGGTCAAACTCATGCTGGTAACCTCGAAAACACTATCCAACCATTTCTTTCCCTACCTTGTTAGAATATTGAACCCCAACCAGAGCTGGTTGCTCTTGCCACCTTACAGCTCAGAAACAGCATTCAGAAGCATTTAGCCTCTCAAAAGTCAGTAGCACAGAGCCTAAGGCAAGCTATCCTAGCTGTAGCGTTTACGGTAACTTGATCACAGAATCTGAGGAGGGGGAAAGTGTTATACTATAAGGAAGCATAAAAACCCACAAAATATGCTATGATGTGACTGCATTTGGAATATGTTGCACAATTCTGGTCACCGGACCTCAAAAGCCATGTTCGAAATTAGCTAGGCGCCGGGCGCATTTTGCACCTGGCTTTCAACCACTTGTGACAAAGCGAAGATGCCTGGGTGCCAGGATGGCACCTGACATCTCCACCATCTGGGATCTGGACTGTTTTCACACACTCCTACCCCATCCTGTAGAATTCCATCAGTTATATTTCATCTGCACAATCAGAATGAGTTTCTGGAACCAAATTGCTTTTTCTGTGTAGCCTGAGCAGGAGCAGTCACCATTAAGAAAAGGAGGTCGGAATAGGCCAATATATATGTGGGCTGTCCCTGGATCAAGTGACTTTTCTTCTCCGAGTTCTCAAAGTTGTTCTCAAAGTTAACCTAGCTCAAGGTTGTCATCTGAACTAGTCAGATGTTTAATCAATCACAGTCAGTCCATCATTTGAAAAATAAAGACTTTAGAGCCACCTTGCCCCCAAATAGCAACTAGATCACCCATTTTGCCGACGGCAACCTTGGTTTACGGAGCCATTTGCCACCTAGCTTATATATCAGAGTTTCCAACATTGCTTGTCATTCTAACACACCAGGACCAGCCATGCCAGCGGCAACCGGCAGAACTGTCTCACCCAACTAGATGCCGTCTCATGTGAACTATAAATATTATGCACCCACTGCCCATTTAACTACAAAAATGTAAGTTCTAGTGGATCTGTAACATCCCTTAGATCTCCTCCAAAGGCAACTATGGAGACATTTGGAGCATGTGGTCAAATAGGCCCTCTCACCACCTCAAAACTTGCCACCACAATTTCCTTTCTACAGAACGTGTTCCCGCCTGCCAAATACATCTTTATTATAATGCCCTAAATATGGGATGGGTAACCTGTAGCCATCCAAATGTTGCTGGACTCCAACTCTCCCTCAGTCCTAGACAGCACAGCCAATGGGCAGGGATGATGGGAACTGTAGTCCCTACAACAATTTCGAAGGCTGCGGGAGACCCATCCCTGCCCTGCAAAGAACACATTGTGGTTTAAGCGTCTTACCTGCATTATGCTCATCCATTGAAAAGGCTTTGTTTTCCATGTAGCTCCGCGGAAGCTGCAGGTCGTCCTCAAAAGCAGTCTCCCGCATCCGCGGTTGCGAAGTATCAAAATAATTAGGTGTGTTTTCCTGCTGGGATGGGAGGATGGAGCAGTGAACCTCCGGGATAGCGTGGAAGATCACGAAGACCCAACCACTAGACACCAGTGCTATTGCCAGAGTGGGGTCACTCCATTGGTCTCTTCTCCTCAGTTCATTATTACCATAGAGGTACATAGTCAGCCAAGCAACCCAAAGGAGGATTGAGAAAAAGCTGGTTAGAATGAGGCACACGCCGTTCTTCTTCCATTTCTTAAACTTCCCGCACACTGTGAAGAAAGAAAAGCCCAGGGCCAGCACCATCAGAAACATAACGTAGATGGAAGCCATCGCGAAATCCATCGGCTCGTAACGGCAGGCCTGTTTCCCGTCCCGCACGACTGTCAGTATCATCCACTCTGCTGCGATAATGACTTGGACCAGCGCAAAGCAGACGGCGACGCCGGCCAGCTGCCAGCCGGACGGGCTCTTGCCGTGCCGGACGAGTTTCCGCAGCCTCCAGGCTTGGACAAGCAAACACGAGAAGCAGAGCGCAAAGAGGACCCCCCAGGCAAAACGGCGGACCGAGCAGATGGTCTCATCCTCCTGGATGATGAAGGCGAAGGCCAACCCGAAGAGGCCCAAGGTCCCAAAGAGGAAGAGGAAGTGGATCCCTAAGGGACTCTTCTTCTCTTTTTCCTTGATGAACGGCAACCTTGCCAGCAAGATCAGCATGAGGAGCAGCGTCGTCAAGACTCCAGCTCCGGCCACCGCCTCCACGACGATCCCCCAGATGGCATCCAGGTCACACAGGTAGACATATTGAGGGAAAAGGTCCAGGCCGCACCCTCTGGAGGTACTGGAATTCTCCGACGATCCATAGCCCACCACAAAGAGGAGGAGGAGGAGGGCCACAGTTGGGAAGGGGGTCATTTTTCCTGCCTGAAACCAGAGAAGGTGAGGAGATACAAAGAATAATGTTACGTTATGTTCTATTTCCAGGTGGGGCTAACATGATAGAATGCTTCCCTCATACCAAATAATACAGTGGTACCTCGGGTTACATACGCTTCAGGTTACATACGCTTCAGGTTACAGGCTCTGCTAACCCAGAAATAGTACCTCGGGTTAAGAACTTTGCTTCAGGATGAGAACAGAAATCGCATGGCGGCGGCGCGGCAGCAGTGGGAGGCCCCATTAGCTAAAGTGGTGCTTCAGGTTAAGAACATTTTCAGGTTAAGAACGGACCTCCGGAATGAATTAAGTACTTAACCTGAGGTACCACAGTAATTCCTGAGCAGGCTAGAACGTTGACCTGCTTTGCTTGTTATTGTATAGATCACAGTATTGGCACTGGGTTTGAAACCATTTTTTATAGATATCCAGTTGTTTTATGAATGATTTTTCTGACTGTTGAAATCGCCTTGAGAGGCTTCGCAGCAAGCAGTTCACAAATGAAACTATAATCAATAACTAACTAATAATGTATTGTTATTAATACTTGTATAATAATAATGGGTTGTTATTAACTGTTCTGTGGGCCTTCTGGCAGTTCCCTCAGGGTGAGAAGCAAAGTTACAGGCAGAGGGCCTTCTTGGTGGTGGCACCCGCCCTGTGGAACACCCTCCTGTCAGATGTCAAGGAAATAAACAACTATCTGACTTTTAGAAGACATCTGAAGAAAGTCCTGTATAGGGAGGTTTTTAATCTTTGATGTTTTGCTCCATGTTTATATTATGTTGGAAGTTGCCCAGAGTGGCTGGGGCTACCCAGTCAGATGGGCACCGTATAAGTAATAAAATTACTGCTACTACTAAGCAATGATAATGATTATTTTTGCTATTATTGAACCAAGCAGCATTCAGAAAAGTGAGCACCCAATATGTGGTCAAAAGAACTAAAGCGTCCAGACCGAGGCACACAGCTGGGCCACCTGCTCTTTTGAGATAAACTACAATTCCCAGAATTCTTTGAGGGAAAGAATGTGCTTTGAAGGTATAGTGTGGGTGTAGCCCAGGGATGGGGAACCATTTTTTGCCAGAGAGCTTCACTGTCTTCTGGGCAACCATCTTGGGTGGATGGGGTACTTGCCAGTGATGGGTGGTGCCAGAGACAGAACTGGGCAGTGTAACGCATGTAAATGTTAGTTTGTACAGTTGGCGAATTTCTTCACACCTCTCTCTCTAGCCGCCATCCAGGCAAGCAGATGAGCATTATAAGAGTTCAATTCCAGCCATGCTGGAAAAACACCCAAGGAGGGTGTGAAGCAAGGCTAGTCAGGGGTGTGAAATGGGGGGAAATCCCAAGGGCCCGGGGGAGGGGTTTCAGGTGCTGCCTTTGGTTCCTGGGACCTAAGGTCTCTCCCCCCACAAGACAGGCCTTTGGTCTGACCCAGCAGGGTTCTCCTCACTCTCTTTAATGTTCTCAGCCTAAGCTCTACCCAGCAAGCCATACCAATGACCCAAGCAGGTATATTTAACTTTTAAATAAAGGAGAAAATTTGTACAGTACTCAGCGCATCCAACAATGCATTGATTCATGGAAAGCCGTGCGGAGAAGCAATTCCAATCGGCACAGATGTTTGAAAGAGATGTGATAAACAGCCTTTTAGAGCAAACGTCAGATGATCAGAACTTGCAATTTCCCCCCCCCACTGCCTTTGGCTCCGGGTGTGCAATTCTTCTGCGCTAGTTGTTTTGCTTCAGTGTTGCCCAAACAAGTAATGAGCGAGGGTTTCAAGGCAGCTCACTCTTTCCAAGAGGTTTCTCCTTCATTTTTCTGGATATTTTATTCATGTCATGTACCCCCCATGTGATCGAGCTATTCTAGGACAAGTCTGTTTCCCGAGAGATCACGCAGCATGGATAACCACTCAGAGTCAGCCTCAAGTTGTATTTCATTTCCTCTTTCCACTGAGATAGGGCTGGGCAGGGTAGAAAATCCCCTTTAAGCCATAAAGGAGACAACTGGCAGAGCGAGCTGGTGTGAAACTGCCTCCCCCATTGAAAAGGTTGGGTAGTAGCAGCTGACAGGAAACACCTTCTCTGCCCAAGACACTGTACAGCTTTGCCCCATGAAAATAGACTAGACTGGGCTGGTTCAGAGGCTATTTCAGCTGAGGGTTGCATCTTATTGTGTGCAACTTTCTGAGGGTTGCACACCCAAAGGCAGGAGGAGGCAGAGTAACAGAAGTGATTTTGTGCAACTGGCTGCATCTGAGCCAAGCAGAAGCCAGAGATTTGTGCATTTGCTTTTCTCCATTTCCCATGCCAGGCAATCAAATGTGGCTACCTTCAAAGCTGACTCGGAAACTACAACTAATCCAGAATGCAACATCTAGACTGGTGACTGGGAGCGACTGCCGGGACCATATAACACTGGTCCTAAAAGATCTACATTGGTTCTCAGTACATTTCCAAGCACAATTCAAAGTGTTGGTGCTGATCTTTAAAGCCCTAAATGGCCTCGGCCCAGTATACCTGAAGGAGCAACTCCACCCCTATCATTCAGCCCAGACACTGAGGTCCAGCTCCAAGGGCCTTCTGGATGTTCCCTCACTGCAAGAAGTGAGGTTATACGGAACCAAGTACATGGCCTTAGCAGTAGTGGCACCCATGTAACACCCTCCCATCAGATGTCAAGGAGATGAGAAATGACACAACTTTTAGAAGACATATGAAAGCAGCCCTGTATCAGGAAGTTTTTAATGTCTGATGTTTTATGATGGCATGGAGGACTGCGTTAAGCACCCAGCCAGGATGCTGGACTAGATGGGCCAATAGAATGTGGCCCCTGGGAAGTTTAAGTTGGCCCTCCAGCTGAAATAAGTTCCCAAGCCCTGGGTGACACAGAAGTGTTTCAGGTGCCAGATCAGGTTGCTCAAATCTTCCAGACTGACTGGGGCAAATTCAGTTCTTTTCTATAGTTCCTCGTAGCACCATCAATATTCTACCCACCCAGGGACTCAAAGTCCGAATCACCTCTGCAGAGCTACTGCAAAAACCTAACTCTGCCCCTTGAAGCAGATTTCTCTTCCCTGCTGCAGCTCCAGAAGCAAAAGCAGACCCTGCCACGTGCCACAGAGTTGCTGCCGAGTCGGATTTCTGCCCAATCTTTCCCCGCCAGATCCAAGGAATAAGCTGCATTGACTGATAACGGAACAAATGACAGCTGAGCGGCGATCAGGCGGACGAAGATACGTGGCTGCAGAGCAATAATTAATAATGGCAATGTGCTTTGCATGCAGAACTGCCACGATGGTTTCCACTTAGTCTGCACAATGCTGCACAAGAGAGAGAAAGCTCTACACTTCGGCTGCTAAGAGGAATTATGACCCTGTTCGGGGACATGGAGAGGTGGAGTAAAAAATTTATTTTTAGAAGACGGAAGGGCTCGATCTGAATCCTAGTTGGATAGATGGTACTGTGGCCAAGGAGAGGTAAGTCACTCAACCATTGAAGGCTACTGCAGGCTTTCTCCTTATTTTCGGCTATTGCATATTCAAATCTATCTCTGCAATCATAAGGGCTAGCAAGTCACCTCCGATCTACACAGCAAATGGGGGGGGGGAGGAGCTTAACAAAGACCAAGGGTTGGTCTGCATCTAATTCCACCTCTGCCCTGCAGCTTTGGTACCTTCTAGCAGCCTATCTGTCAGTTTAACAATCTGCCCCGATTGCCCTGGACTCTCAAAAAAATGGAGGAGCACACTGGCAGGCACCTGGTAGGCTGCAGTCCAATTGGGGGTTCATAACTGTTGGAAGTTTGGTAAATCTATTGCAGGGGTGTGCAGAGAGAAATAGTCTGGTGAGGCCGCTTGTCGGAAGGACCAATACAACTTAAAAGTTTATTATGCATGGAGAACAAAGCCATTCTAAGTTTGACAACATGACCAAGAGGCAGCCCAGAATTTAAGACTAGCACATGCTGCTACTGGCTGAACTTGGAGAAGCAGCAGGAGGAAGGCAAAGCCTGAAAGGACGTGATCTACTTTATCAACAAGCAGTTACTAAGAGAGAGGAGGAAGAACAGGTTGCCCTTCTGCCTTATCACCCTCCTACTCCACTGGTTCAGGTAACTTATTGCAAGGGTTGTTGCTTGACTCCCAACAATAACAAGACACCATGCTTGGTCCCCATCAGGGATGGAGAAACTTGCAGGTCTCCAGGTGTTGCTGGACTGCAACTCATCCTACCTCTGGCCATGCTGGCTGAGGCTGATGGGAAGTGGGAGTCCAACAGCCTCCAGAAGGCACTGGCTTCCCTTATTCCTGCTCTGGGTCATAGTGCCTTGCTTTATCAGATTAGACTATCAGGTCCGACTATTGGTCCACCTAGCCCAGTAGCATGAAATCTCCAGGGTCTTCAGCACAGGTCTTTCCTATCACCGGTTACCTGGTCCTTTTTAAACTGGAGATGCTGAGGATTGAAACTGAGACCTTCTGCATGAACAGTCAAGTGTCCTGCCAGCATCTCCATCATTGCATAGGAGCACAGATGTAGAGCAACACTTTTGTTTCAGCCAAATCTCATCGTGGAAACCTGCTTTGAAAGCAAGGGCTCACCTCGCTGGAAATACACAAATAATAAAAAGTGCCTCTGAGCATGTAGCTCTCAGCACCAAGCAAGCAATCTTTTGCCCAGGCTTTTCATATTAGGGAATGGATTCCTGAGTCAGAGGCCATGAGGGCCAGTCTGCTTAGCTTTGCAAATGTGCTAGCAGTCTCATTGCTGTTTGATTGCAGGCTTTGCTCCATTTACAACAGGAGTGGGAAGACCTCAGGCCTGGGGCTCAAAAGTGGACCCCTGGCCCTTAAAAGGTCTGTGTCTGTATTTGGAATTGTTTTAAAGATGTTTCATTGCTTGCTATTGGCCACCCCCATTTCCTTCAGGCAAGAAAACAGATTTAATAAAGAATGGTCAGCAACAAAAATCACTGAGGGA